AGGTGACCTTTCCAATTGAAGATTTTTAACTGTGGCTTTTGGGGGAATAGGGAGGAATATGTCATACAGCAGAAATTTTAAGTTAGAGGGTGGAGGATGACCAGAGGGGTATCTGTTCCACGGCGCAATTTTATGATTTTATGATTCAAAGACAGAAAGTTCATCTGTGCTAAAATGAAACTAGTGTTTGGTATGAACTTTTTTTTCTTTATATTTTTATTTGCAAGGCAGATTTCCGGGGACAAGAAGAAACAGAGAGAAAGATCTTCCATCCACTTCCATCCATTTCCGTCCGAAAATAGGAGCCACGGGCCTCTTCCGCCTCTTCCAGACCTGCCACATGGGTACAGGTTCTCAATGCTTTGGGCCGTCCTCGACTGCTTTCCCAGACCACAAACAGGCAGCTGGATGGAAATGGAGCAGCCAGGATAGGAATCAGCATCCATATGGTATCCCAGTGCTTGAAGGGAGAGGATTGGCTAGTTGCGTCATTGTGCTGGGCTTGGAGCACCTCCACCCTTTTTTTTTTTCTTTCAGTTTAGCCAGATGTACCACAGAGGAAAACACAATCTTAGCGTCGGCCTTCTTTGAGAGATTTCATAATTACGTCTAAAGTAGGGATTCTGAAACTTCCACTACTGAGAGATACTTAGGAATTTAACATAGTTCACTTTATTTTTTTTTTTTAATTTAAGCCCAATAATTAAAACCAGTCTTCCTAATAGCCCACCTAAGGCCCGTTGTAAATTGGGCAGCACCTATGTCAATGGATGATAAGAATAAATTAGGCAAGCATAGCTAGAGATGGCATCAGCTAGAGGGATACATGAATTACAGGCAGCCACATCAAACCTATACGCGAAAGAATGTCAAGTACTAGCTCCTATTTTAGTGTTAGTTGTCATTTAAGAGAAGTTATTTGTCTAAACAAATTCTATTATTGAACCACATGAATTAACATTGATTTGATCATACGCGTGATATAAATTCTATCTTTTAATTTTAAACTGGAAAAACTTGGAGCAAGTCAAGGCAAGCATTTCTTTTCTTCTCACAGGACCCTATGCAGAGACACCATGGGATAGTGGGTGTGTGCTTGAGTTCGTTTCTTCAATCACATTGCTTCAAAGTGTGTCTTACAGAATGCAAATAAAAATAACGCATATGCAGTGAGAATATTTCAGGTTTATTTACTTCAAAGAAGAAATGCGTATGTCATTAAAACATTTTTAGGTTTACTTATTTATTTCAAAGTCACTGAGAAAGAGAGAGAGGGAGAAATCTATCCAGTAGTTAGAGCATTTTGCAAGTGGAAAAACTACAAAAGGATCACCTTCAAGAACAAGATATGCATGAGATAAACGAGCATGTATGCCATTAGTGAAAAATCAAAGAAACTGAATTGATACCCTGTGGTCTGTATGTTTGTATCTGTCTAAGATTCAAACACCGAGATCCTACCTCTTGAAGTGCTATGGGGTCCACACCCTGGAGTAGCGTGCATTAAACCACAGCTTGCAATCTGACTGTTCCATATGAGTGCTGGTACGAGTCTGGCTGCTCTACTTGCAATCCAGCTCCCCGCTAACCTCTCTGGGTCCCTGCTATCCATTCACACACGGGGCTTAAATAGAATCCTGGGCTCTCATGGGGAGGATTAGTTAGTAAAACCAACATGTGGAAATCCTTTGTAAGTGTCATGCTGTGAAGTTGTTGTTGTGTAACAAACCACTCTAAACATTCGTGGATTCAAGTGAATACTGGACCTTAACTTACCCACAGTCGGGTGGATCAGATTTGAACTGGAATTATTTGGTGAGTTTTACTGCCAGCACTATCTGGATTCCTCAAGGAGCAGTAACTGGCTGGTCAATAGACTCTGAGCTGCTTGGGCTCCAGCTGAGAAAGTTAACTGCTATTGGCTGTGGTTTTATCTTCTACCAGGCTAAGCCTGGGGTTTTCAAGGGTTGGTAGAAGTAGTCCCAGGAGCAGTGAAGAAGAAATGACTTCTCAAAGATCTGTTTGGGTCATGTTAGCAAATTTAGTTTCTTTTATGTGAGCAGTAGATCACCTCATTCCCAGAATAGTGATTCGGTATGAGTGCTGGCTCATGTGCTGGCTATTCCTCTTTGGATACAGATCCCTGAGTGTGGCCTGGGAAAGCCATGGAGGATGGTCCAAAGCCTTGGGACCCACATGGGAGGCCTGGAAAAAGATCCCAAGTCCTGGTCCTGGCTCCTGGCTTTGAATCAGCTCAGCTCTGGCTGTTATGGCCAATTGGGAAGTGAGCCTGTGGAAGTAGGATATTTGTTTCTCCTTTCCTGTATAAAATCAGCCTTTCCAATCAAAACAAGTAAATCTTTTTTTTTTTAAAGATTTATTTTATTTCTATCACAAATTCAGATAGGCAGAGAGGAGGAGAGACAGAGAGGAAGATCTTCTGTCTGATGATTCACTTCCCAAGTGAGCGCAACAGCTGGTGCTGTGCTTCCAGGTCTCCCACCCAGGTGCAGGGTCCCAAAGCTTTGGGCCGTCCTCGACTGCTTTCCCGAGCCAAAGGCAGGGAGCTGGATGGGGAGGCAGAGCTGCCAGGATTAGAACCGGCATCCATATGGGATCCTGGTGCGTTCAAAGTGAGGACTTTGGCCACTAGGCCACGCTGTTGAGCCCATAGATCGTTTTTTAAAAATAAAGAAAATAGATTTCTAAAAAAAGTAACTAAAATTGTGTGAGCATGGGTGTGTAGGGGTGTGTGTATGTTTGTATGTAAATGCAATTTTAAGTATAATTATTTTAGTTGTGTTCTTAGGACAAAAAAGTAAGTAAATATCTGCAATACCTTCAAAAGCCCTCAAATTAAGTTGATCAAATTACTTTTCAGAAGGAATTATGTGGACAAAAATGAAATTTGTCTCGTATGAGTTGCCACTTAGGAAAACCACAGAGCATATCCAGACAGCATGCAGAGTGTGTCACCTTTGTTCTTGACCGAGGGGACAGTACTGCACCATCACTCTGAACATGAAGAAGCAGACTCTAGCTTCAGATGTCCTGCAAGTTTTGTACACAATATAGTTACCTTTCCCAAGGTTCGCCGCCTCGTCATAAGGACAACAATTGGCAGCCCTCCTATCGTCTGGTTCCCTGTTACAAACATTGTGATGCAGGAACAAAGCACAGGACAGGTTTGGGTCCAGCAGTTATGATCTGGGTTAAGACGCATCTATTCCAATTTGGGTTCAGTTCCCATCCTTCCTCCAGCTTCCTGCAAACACAGACCCTGGATGCAACTAAGATGTCCTGAGGAAATGAGGTTTGACCACCCAGAAGGGAAACCTGGATGAATTCCTAGCTCCCAGCTTCAGCCCCTAGAGGAAGGTCTTTGTGTATATATGGGGCTTAAACAAGAATAGTGGCATCGACTTTCTCTCTTTCTCTTTCTCTCAAGTAGGTAAATAAACAGCAATTTTTTTAAGAAATGAAAAACAGCGAGACAAGTGGCCTACTCTCTTTCTTTGTCTCTGAAATATACATACACAGAGATGAAGTAGAAGAAATCTCTAACTATGTAGATTTCAGGTCAGACATCCCAGCATGCCCAATGCTGTTCACTTACAGAGGAAACTTTGTGAAGTTCAAGGGTAGGAATTGTTGTGTTCCATAAATTAGGTACCAGTCATAATATTTAATAAAATATAAACTGGCAATGTATAAAAACCACATGAAAGTGTCCCTTTGTTAGCATTCACCTAACCCAGAATCAACCTACCAGAGCGAAGATATAAAACTAACAGAAGGAAAGATGATGATTTTAGAAATTACATGAAACAACCCACTCGCCTAAGACACACATTCATATGTCCACACCCTGTTGATACTTCCGTGGTCCCAGTGGGATCCCTCCAGGAGGCGTGTCCAACGAAAGAGGAAATGAGACTTCAGGCCTCCCAGTGCCAATCATAACTGCAGTGTCCATAAAGATGTTTGCATTTGCCCTTCAGGAATGTTTTGCTAAAGCTTGACAACTGTTCACCGTAGGTTGGCTAGATTATTTCAGGACAAGTAAGAGCTCCTACAAGGGGAAGTGCTGGGGGCACTTCTGCAGGAAATCCTTTGTCCTTCAAACAAAATTTAAGAAGATGGTCTTAGAAGCAACTAATGTGAAATCAGTGTCAAAATACTCTTGAAGTGTTCCTATTTGAGAACTACATGGTTTCTAATCATTTCAAAATGTTCTCCAAGCTAGTACCAGAATTTTAGATTACTGCATCCAGTACAATTTGAAGCATATCTGAGGTAATGGGACAAAAATATTTGGGAACAATCCATCATTTCCCAGCCTTCACACCCTTTAAAAATACTGTTTGATGATTTCAGAGGGAACTTTGAAGGCAGGTCTTTGCCTCTAAGAGGGTTCTATCGTTCCGGAGTGAACTGCCAGTTCCTTCTCACCCCGTGAGGTTCTCAGAGCGCCACATGTTCCAGACTGCTCTGCATTGATCCGCAGCAGCGCTCAACCTGAGGGCTTATATGTAGACTAAACAAATAATGAACATGTTCACCTTGTGCTATTGAGGACTGAGAGATAATATGATACTGTAACATGACATAGTCTATCCTGACCAACAGAGGAAACTACGAGGTTTTCAATTTTCTTGCATGTCAAATAAGACATTTTTGGAAGGACATAGCCTTTCTATGTGTCATTATTATGTCGAGTGGTATTTTCAGCACCCTCCCACTAAGTACAGGAAGATTATTGTTACACAATTCAAAAGTCCTTCAAACTACACCAACACAGTCGCTTCTTTCCAAAAAGGAAAAATCATTGATCTTTTCCTTTTTCCATTTTGCTGGGTAAAATCCTTCATCACAAAACAGTATCCCTGTCTCCCTTTCGATACTGAAGAACTACAAATCCAGATAGTTCAAAAATGGTAAGAGAGGGTCATTGAACTACAGCAATGAAAACAGCCCCTTGTGGCAATGCCCAGGTTTACCTGTCTTTCAGTGAGATCCAAGTTCACTGCTATCTCGTAGCGCCTCAGCCTGGTCAGATAGTTGTGATGGGCAAATTCTGCTTCAAGTTCTCTGATCTGCTCTTTGGTAAAAGCTGTCCTTTCCTTCCTGGGTTTGCTGTTGACTTCAGACTTGTAGTTTCCTTCCTGGGAATCTGGAAAAAAAAAAAAGAACCGCTGGTACCAACTTCTTCATCCAAACACATGTAGCCAGGGCATTCATTGTGATTGATTTAACTGCTTTTCCAGGTATAGGGCTAGACTTGGGACAAATGGAGACCAGAGGTAGAAAGGCTGATCTCACATCCACAGTGTACAACGTGTTCCCCAGTTGTCCCATCTCTCTTCAAGCAACTGACATCCTAGTGCAGAGTTGTCACATTTTCTTACAAAACATGTACCATATTTTATTGTTTGTAACAGAATGAAATAAGAAGAAGTTAGACTTTGTCCAGCATAATGACTCAACAGTTAAATTCTCACCTTACAAATACCGGGATGTCATATGAATACTGGTTCATGTTCTGGCTGCCCTACTTTACATCCACCCTCCTACATATGGCCTGAAAAGCAGTAGGGCATGGTCCAAAGCCTTTTAAATGATTGTTTATGCATTTGAAAGGCAAACAAGAAACTACACACAAACACACACACACACACTAAGAGAAATAAAAATAGAGAGAGAGATTGCTTATCCACTAGTTCATTTCCCAGATGACCGTAAGGTTTGGGAGTATGTCAAGTCAAACCTAGGAGCCAGGAACTCCATCTGGGCCTCTTACAAAAGGGACCTTGGTGCTCAACTTTTGCTACTTTCCCAGGAGCATTAGCAGGATGCTAGCTGGGAAGGAGATGAGCTGATAGATTTGAAGTGGCTCTCCAAGATAGCATGACTGCAATGCAAGCTGGAACTTAAAGACCTCTTAGGACAACAGACCCCTGAACATGAACATGTAAAAAAATGCTAATGCAGTATATGAACATGAGAACAGCCCAAGCATTTAGCAAATGTACAATTGAATTTCAGACTCAAATTGAGCATATGCAAATGTATATGTGTACTTATTGTCCTGTTGAGATCTATTTAGATGTGATCTCCCTGAGATCACAAAAGCAAAAAAGCTTTTATCCAATTTGCATCACTTTGCATCACTCTGGCTCCATCGTGGTGTAAAGTAAAATTGTGTTTATATATCCTAGAATATGAATATGCATGAGATGAATAATACCTAAATCACCTGATTATGCCAAATCTTATAAAATACTTACAAGAAAAATAAGAATAGAGGCCAGCACTGTGATGCAACAGATTAGGCTGCTGCCTGACACCTGCATCCCAGGAGTATCATTTTTGAGTCCCAGCTACTGTACTCACTACTGATTCACCTGGGAAAGTGACAGACAGATGTTGCCTCGGTGTGTAGGCCCTGCCACTCACGTGGGAGTCTCGGAGGGAGTTCCAGGCTCCAACCTTCATTCTGGTCCAACTCCAGGTATTCCAACCATTTAGGGAGGAGTGAATCAGTGGGCGGAAAACATGTCTCTCTCTCACTCCCTCTCTGTCTCTCTCCCTCTCTTTAACTCTGCATATCAATGAACTAAATACTTTTAAAAGAGCTTTAAGTAACAACATTCACTTGGATCATGTACTTCCATCATTGTTTTTGAAGGCTGACAGGAGGCATTCTTAATATTCCAAAGAATAAACTGTGTGTCCGTAATGGAGTGAAAACCACACACATACCCCCAGGTATAAAGTAATCACACTCAGGAGGTCTAACTTATCCTCAGGGAAATGCCAACCTATCCAAGGTTAAGGGCACATTTATTTCTGCTTTATAATCATGTTTTGGATTGTGTTCAGGCATCTGAATCAAGTGGACAATCAGCCCTTCTCTGAGCCCAGAGGAGAGGGGCAATGTAGAAAAAATAGGGTGAAATCTTGGTTAAATAGTGGCCATAAAAGAATTAAAATGGTAACATGGTATGCCTTCTAAGTGATCCTTTCAATCACATTTGTTTTTCCATCTGGTGAAGTTCATTATGCCAAGAAGTACAAAAAAAAATGTTTTTTCTTTTACTAACTCTTTTACTTCCTGTCTGCTTGGTGCTGGTGGTGGCTGGGTTGGGGAGGGGTTGGCGAGATGCAGCTGAAATACAGAGGGTCCTGCAAAATGGAAATCCACCAGATGAGCACAGCAATGTAAACACATTTGTCCTGCTTCCCGCCAGAGTCTAAGTGAGCCAGACTGGGAAAAGTCGTGGTCTCGCAGCAGCAGCAGCAGCAGCCACGGTATGCACCGACCTCTTAGCACAGTGGCCGTGACTTCCACTCTCTGTGGGGTCGTGGTGTGGATTTCACTGCCTAGAGCACTGGCTCCGTGGGGAGGTGTTCCTCATTCACTGACCTCAGCACTGGGCTTGCCACCACTGCCCTGAGACTCTCTGCTTCCATGCGGCACAATACTATTTTGTGATCTGTCATGCACAGGTTCCTGGCACCTCACAGGGAGGCACAGGGATCAGATGAGTGACATAATGGATGATGTGTCACACTCTTGTAGGCCAAGACACCTGTGGGGACTGTAGTCAATCCTCCACGTTCCTGGAACAACACATCTGCCAACATCCACCCTGGAGGAGCAGCATTTCTCAGTAAAATTTCCCCTGATGACTGATTTTTTTTTTTTCCCCTCCAACTTTTTCACGGTCTGTCTGGACGACAGCAAGCTTAGCCCCAGCTCAGAAGTCCCAGATAACAAGCCCCTGTCACAGCCACTTACATTCTCAGGTGAACCCAAAGAATTTTTGCCAGCTTGGAGCCACTGCGTACATATAATCTGCATCTTGTAATTCTCTATGTGAAGTCACTGCACTTTTCGTCTTGAACCCCGGGCACTCTGCAAACTGACAGTCAAAGCAGAGCCTTTTTTTTCCCCCCTCATGAGCAATTCAATTCGAATGATTCATGGTTAGCCATTCCCTTATGTAAGCATGAATGAACAAATTCACATGGAGCAAAGCCTATTCACTGGTATTTATTTTTGTTTCTTTGAAATAGACCTCATCTGACTTTTGCAAAATTCAAAGCACTTTGTAGATGCCACACATCCACAACACACACACACACACACACACACACACACACACACACGCAATGCGGCCCAGTGCTCAGAAGGATGGACACCTGGAAGGTGCTCATTTGAACTCAAAATACACAACAGGAAGTTTAGATGTCCGGTGACAGGGTTTCAACAAAAAGCACACTATAAATCCACATTCCAAATCCAAAAGCAATGAGTGTGTGTTCAAGTTTCAAACTGCCTTGGCTCACAAATGCAATTCAGGAACTCCAAAGAAGTAAGCACGCACTGACAGCCACCACAGGAGGATTCAGTTCTAATGAACACAACACAGAGTGGGCGGGTGGGTGTTTCTGGCATTGTCACCTACCGGGAGACGGGGTAGCTGGGGCGGGCTGTGTCATTCATCAGCAGACACTTGCATCCTGAGTCTCAACCCTCCTGTTGTGGTTTGCACGCACCACACTGACACTGTTTTATTCAAAACTTTCTCCCTGGAATGGCTCTTCTGGATTGATATTTCCTATCGTTCTGATTTTATTTTCATGCTTTTTGCTTCACAGTTTGCAAAGGCGATCACTTGCTGACCCGAACGCGTCTCCTTTTATCACCTGGAGAGTTATTCTTTGGTGGAAAATGGGTGGGAGCCACTGACAAGGCTCTTGGCAGATTTCACCTCAGCTTCCATCTGCTTTCCAGCTGTTCTGACCAAAGCCAAACCGCCCTGTGATTCCTTCAGTCTCCCGCCGTCTGTGCCAAATGGTAGGTGCTCAGAGTCCGTCTTCCCTGAAGCCGCAATCAGAACCTCACCACGTGCACAGCACATTCCAAGGTAAAATATGACAAGTGATGTTTTTTCTCCCAGGCACTTTAATGCACCTGTGGGGGCACCCTCACACTCTCAACCGCATGGAGGGATTGCTGACTTAGGTGTTCAGGTAGACTCCACAGCTCCGGGTCCCCCATCTTCTGCTCCCCACGGTTATGCTAATGGACAAAGTCTGCACTACTTCCGTGGAGGATAAAAATTGCTCTCCAAGGATCGTGTCTGTCTGGTGCTTAGAACTACTCCACATGTGACTTTTTATTTCCCCCAGTGCAAGGGGATGCCAAAAGATAATAATGTTTTATTAAGGACAAATCATGAGGGGGACGCAATCGGTCCACTAGCAGGACAGAATACTTTTCAGCAGAAGAAAAATAATGAAGTCTGATTGAGTGTATTTCTGGCTACTCTGGGTAAACTTATTAACTTACTGAAATGAAAAATGTAATTTACCCATGTCTGCAAAATATTAAAATGTAATGGGGCATCCATACAGCTTAGACTATAATGAATTCTTATTTCATATTCTGAAGGAAAAAATGAATGCTAAGGCTCAGCACATTTCAGTCCATTTGGACTTCATACGTCAAGGTCTTGTCAGCTATTCAAAACGAGTGTGATTCTGTTATTTATTAACAAGGCTGCACAGGTCTGTGGGTAAAGGAAGCTAATAACCACCTTTATATGCACAGGGATTGTGGACGGAGGCAGGAAAATGCATAGAATAATCCTATTGATGCTAGTCATTTTCACATTTAAACGGGAAATTGCCTTCTTATGGGCATTGATCCAACTTGCTACTCTAGCTGCTTAATGAGTGAGTATTTCAGCTTCTCTTCCCCTTTTTTTTTTTCAAAGTAAACAACGTTCCCCGGGGATTCTTAAATCCCCTTGCCAATCCAGTCTCCATATTTGAGAACCACAGTCATGGTGAGGCACTATTAGGAGTGAATGTGTCTATTATAGAAGTGAGGCTCCTAAGCTGGGAAAGCAGGACTGAAAACCACTCAGCTAGGTCTAGAACGGCATAGCCCTTAAAAACTTGCATTATTTCTTACACCTCTGATTTTTAAGAAGTCCGGCTATTGCCTTAGTTTGTTTCACAATGCCAACCTAAATTTCACATGCAAGAATTAATTTTACAGACGTTAGAAGACATTATGTGGACTGCTGTCTTCAAAATGCAGAGTCCTTCTCACTTGCTAGACCAGTGGTTTGGGATTTTTTTTGTTTGTTTGTTTGTTTT